TTCATTGAATCCATCTTAGTATCGTTTCCCAGCTTTAATAAAAACGTTCATTCAGGCCATTGAAGAAGGACGTGATGAAAGCCCGTTTCTAGTTAAGTTTTCCGCGACAATCTATAAAAAAGATGAGAGGCAGACCATTGCCAAATTGCGTTAGCGTGATCATGGGCGTCGATCCGTGTTTGAAAGTGGGGTGGGGGCGGCGAAATGCAAAATAAGAAAGCCTTTGATTGGGGCCAGGGGGTTGCCTAGAGCCCCGGTGGGGGTCCAGGGGCGAAGCCCCCTGAAGCTCTGGCGTCTATAGCCTTTTATAAGCTGTTTCTAATTGATTTTAAGGAATGCAATCAATTCCATACTACATTTTCAAAATACAGTGGCGGATCCAGGAATCCCTACAGACTTTTACAGATAGAGAGTGTAGACCACCTCAGTCCCACAATGGTTGGAGCTGAGGTAAGAAAATTTATGATTATGACACCTCTAGTTAGCCGGAAATGGCACTCTCAGACTAAATTTGAATATAATTTTCATTTTTTCCACTTTTAAATTTCGAAAAAATAAATAGGGAGGGTGGGCCGGCTGAGCCCATTGAGTCTGCCACTGAAATACTCATCATAAAAACTTTTTAAAATTATCCTGGTAATCAGAATTATGCCCGCTTATAGTGCAAAATAACATTCATAAAAATAATGATATGTTATCTACTGATTAGCTTGTGACTTATTAGCTTGTGACGCATATTCGAACCATGAAAACCAAATACGATAAACGTAAAACCGTCATAAAGTCTATTTGCATGAACAGTACTTTTAAAATCAATCACGAGCTTTTTCCTTTTCTCTTCATTTTGAATTTCACTTTTGTGCAAGTAGTATTGCAACTACACTATTGTGAGTGGAAATACTACCGTCTAATTTACGATCAAACAGGACTAGGAAGATAGGAAGCACACAAAACATAGACAATAATTAATTTATCATTATCAGTGGCGGCTCCTGGAAAGCCAAATAGAGGGGGACAGGCAGAGACTTTCACAATTTGGGAAACTAGGTCATTTCAACGCCACCCATGGTTGGGGCTGAGGTAAGAAAATTTATCGTTATGACACCTCTCGATGGCCGGAAATGGCACTCTCAGACATAAATTCTAATCATAATTTTTCTTTTTTCCCCATTTTTTTTAAATAATTTTGAAAAATTTAGGGAGGCTGGTCGGCTCGGTCCGGCCCTACTTGAATCCGCCACTGATTATTATGACGTCATTGCGAGATTGCGTCAACGTAACACTAGCGTTTTTAAACTTGTGGTATCACCGTACTTAAATAAATTGAAATAAATAGCCTTGTCCGAGCCCAAGGCTGTATAATTTTTGTTTAATAAAGGCTACATAAAATTCAATTAACTAACTACAATTTTTTGACATTAGGAAAAACAGTAATCTATGTATGCAAATAATACCGGTATTAAACACTAGTGTATACGTACGGGTCATAATAATATACCGTACAAAAGTAATAAATCGTTTATAGTAGAAAGTGTGCATTTTTGAGTTTGTAAAAATATTGGCCTAATCAGTTTCCAATTTTAACAACGTACAGTACATTGTTTTCATAATAAATTTACCCTCTGACAACCGTTGCACCCATAAAATCGATGTAGTTTTTACTGAGATGGTTACAAAATGTACATACAATTGCGTTTTTACTCGGTTTTGTTCCGGAAATACGCACCGCACTTGTGAAGAGTGAACAGACAAAATACATGACAGTCATGCATATAAATTGTTATTTTTTGCATTCGCTTTGAAAACTGGGGTTTAATTATAGAAGACTGGTGAAAAGTGGGATGGAAGACAATTGATATGATGTCCCCACTACTTTGAAAAGTGGGGGACGTGTCCCCTGTCCCCCACCGATCGACGCCCACAAGCGTGATTATATCGTCTGATATCAGCTAATAAAGGCTCTGCCACTGTCGTTATGGACATTAAATTCTATGAAGACGAGTCCTGATGACAAGTAAACGATCCCCTCTTCACTATCGTAAACTCAGAAAGGAGCCCACTCCAGAACTTTCGAAGGAAGTGAAAAAAAACATCTGTATTGAAGATGGTTATAAAGGGTTCCCTCGATCGCAAAATTGGACCACACCTTATCCCTGTCGATCCGGTAATTTCTGAAAATGTTGAGGATTTATTAAGACCATAGTTGTTGCTCCTCCATTGTATATTCAGGATTCCAAGGACTTTGTCCGCAAAATAAACTAAATATCAAATTTACCAAATAATACCATACCATCACCGTGATCATGGAAAATGGTGCACTTACAGATCTCTTCCATAAACCCACGGCATAAGCATAACATGTAACTGCTCCCTGGCAGCTGTCATCCCCGCACTGCACCAAAACCATTCCAAACAGCCAAGCATTTCGCATGAGACGTTGTTCTTCGGATTAAGATTTCTAGAATCGCACAGACCGGATACCTCCGGAAGAGAAATTATCATTGAGAGTCCATCGAAACTTCTATTATTAAGCAAAGAACATACCTCGTGCACAAACACTGACTTATAAACCACGTCAGCGACCAACCAGAGTGCTACTGGTCACTACCGGTACCTATCACCCTAGGTTTCCAACACTAAATGCTATAATTCAGAAATATTTATGCACATACAGACACAAAACGCCTCGGTTCTGTTTTTCTGAATACATCGTTCATAGCCTATTACGGACCACCTAACCTTCGTGATATATAAGTAATATCTAAATTTCAGAAGCAAATTAACTCTTTTGACAGCCATAATTTGAGCAATCAACTTTGTGGTTCATCATGGAAACGTGCTTCTTGCTTAATTCTACACAATCATTCAAGAGCAACCAAACAAAAGACAAATTCCGGATAAGGCAATCAATTAATTGGTGCCTCACCAAAAATATCATTTATCCCATAGGCTTATATTATAATATTTGTGGTTAACAATATGTCGGTGAAACAAAAAAAACACTCTTCGTATGAGCATACCTCAATGGTATGAGAATGACACAGCATAATCAGCTAACAAAACATCTAAGCTTGATAAACCTGTAGGCGAACATTTCAATTCAGCTTGTGTGACTTAATTGCAAATTTCCGAATTGGAACGACAGGAATCGTAAGGATAAGGGAAATCACTGGGAACTTATACTTAAATCACCACAACTTTCGGACTAAATATAAGAAACGTTCTCCTAGGACACTAAATTCATCCAATGGCATTCCAAATTAATTAAAAAATCATTAGGCTTATTGATAGATGCGTGCATCTAAAGTTTAGTTTTGGCTTTCTTGTTCACTCTTTATTCACGCTGCTTATTCACTCATGTCCTATCTCATTTAACTTAGTTACCACGCTTGCATGACTTCTCACTTTATACTATCTGACTTTTTCTACCCTCACTCACTCGCCACTGAGGAAGGACTAGCGTTGTCCGAAAGCTATTACTTATTCTTTTTCTGGCTGTTTACTTAAGTATGCTTCTTAAAATTTTTTCACACATTTTCCCTTTGGAGATTATTAAACGTTATTCTATATTATCTTATATATTAGATTGTAATAGTTTTCGAAAAAGAGGATGCAAATAATGCTGCAATTGATGATTTCCTTTACAAACAAACTCCATGTGAGGAATTACAAGGTAAATAAATATAAATTGTATAACAATTTAGTAGTACCTAGATCAGGCTTTGTAGGCACTTTGTGGTTGTAGGCACTTTGAAATTTGACATCAAAACAATTTTTAAAAGCCAGAATCTAATATTTTGACCCATTGGTCGGCTTTTAAATGGGATAATGGACTAAAAAGGGGTCTATTGGATTATCCGTCCTCATGTTTTCGGCCGCACTATCCATGCTGACAAACACGAACAATTCCTAGCGAAAATCTCATATGCATAGGCCAGTAGCGTAGCTAGGGGGTAAAAGGGGGAGGGCACGTGCCCCGGGCGCCACGTTTG